TTGAATCATGTGGAAGAATCATTAATATAAATAGTAGTAGTACCTATATATTTGGTGTTCCTGCTACATTTAATGAATCGACCCGAAGCTATATTTGGTACGTATGCTACAACAGTGTCATGCTTACTTAAAGAGTTCAAATACAAGATGTATATTTCAAGTTTATATGTTAACTTTAAAATTCTGACAAAAGTCTTAATCAAAATTTGAAAAACCTGCTTTGACTTAAGCTTTAAATGTTTTTATTTTAAACAAAGATGTTTTTATCCTTTTTGTTTATGTTTTGATTTTCTTCTTTATCATCCAAATCAGCTCACCCTATTGTCTTTGTTTCTCCCTTAGTGTCCTAGTCTCTTTTCTTCATGTTTCAATTAATCATTTTCTTCTTTTTTTTCTTATTTCATCCTTTCTTACTTTTTCTTCTTGTTTCTTTATTCTCTCTTCCATCGGATTCCTTCTCTCACCTGTACTCTTATCTTTTCTATATTTTTCATATGTATTTTTTTCTTCTCATGTCCTATTTTCTTTTTGTTTCATTTTAGCCATTTTCTTCTTCCTTTTCTTCTTCTTGATTAACATCAACGATCAAAGATTTTTCTTGCTAAAAAGCTGAATAATTTTAACACATTCAACATTATGGATAAAAAATAATTAATTTCATGTCGGATCATTTCAAGTCTTAGCATGTGTAAATGCATTCACGACTTCATAACAATCGAAAGATCGGATACATTAATTTTCTATAGAAATTATTATTAATCAGGATAACCTTTCATCTCTCATTGCAGATCGCAGATAATCTTTTATAAGTTTTAGTTTTACTGAAACATATTTCGTCACTTGCAACAGTCACTGGTGTAATGAGCAGTGAACGCTGTTCAATGTATAAGTTCAGGTAACTATCAATGAAATGATTCCGAAAAATATAATCTAAAAAATAATGAGCAGTTTTTAGTTCACTTTTTCTGTTTGCTGATTCAAGTTGCAGAATTGAGGCAACAAATCTCTTAAATTCGTCAATCAATTCTTCTCATTCAGCGTCAACCATTTTGTTTTTTCTTTTGTGAAATCGTTTGTACATCTCGTTCAGTTTTCCATTTTTCATTGCATTCAAAAGTGAATCTGAATTCTGAATGAATCCATAAATTCCATTAGGATAGCGATTATTAATTGAAGACAAACTTTGGTCCATGAAAAAAAGTCACGACGAAAACGTTTTTCAGGGGTTTGAACTTCATTGCAGTACTGAAATAAACGACATTTTGCAACATACTTGTAACTAAAACCTTTCATCAATATCATTTTCTTCAGAAATTTCCCGTGCTCTCAACAGAGAAGAGGCATGAGCATTTAACGATAACCTTGAAGAAAATTGCAAGTTTCACAGATCTCAGAAGGGTGCAACGATTGTCTCATTTTGTTCACATATCAAATGATAATGCTAAACACAAAGTACTAAGTAGAAATCTAGTCCAACAATGATCATTGCGTCAGTCGCCATTGTGTAGAAAAAAGAAGAGAGAAAAACAAAAAAGTGACGAGAGGGTTCGCCGGCAAATCAGCTGTTATTCTTCGCCTCGTCGGTCAAAGAAATGAATTGTGAGACTCCTTTTCTCGGCCGTTACACCGGGCAGTCGTGAAACGGACATCCAAATCAGACGCGCCTACTTCAACCGCCTCTTGGTCTGCCAGTCTATTCGCACGTCCGACACTGTTTCAAGAAGTCCGCCGAATGATTCGCCGTCTGCTGTGCCGCTGGCTCCTCGCCTTTTTATGCTAGTCCGACACTGCTAAAATTTACAATCTCGTTTTGGACGAGACTGGCGCGTATAGATCGCGTCTTCGACAGCGTCTATGTTTTCTCTTGGATTTATCATGCAAGCAAGACACGTTCGCACACGTTTCGAGCTCCGAGGTAAGTCATCACACCCCTCCCTGATCTCATGATCACAAAGTTGGCAGCCTGGTGGCGGTCGTTTTCGGCGGGTGCTTCTTCGTAAAGGCAAGGCGGGTGGCTCTCATCTCCCTCCCCATTTCGGGTGGGTTGTCAGCCGGGGGCTCTGCTTCTATTCCCTCTTCAGGTAGATTGACGCATTCCACGCTTTCTTCGTCAAGCAGCAAACTTTCCACCCCGCTATCAGATGTGTTGTCGGAATCTTCCTCGGATGCGCCGTAACCGTGGCGCGGGCGTAGATCCTTAACGTGGCGGGGTATTCCGTCCACCAGAAATGACCGCGGGCTGATCATTTTCGTCACTCGACCCTTGTTGAACCTGGTGGTGCACTGACTTACTGGCGCCTTGACGCACACGCGATCTCCGACCTGGTAGGAACTGTGCCCATGGTCTAAAGATATCGTTAGGGCGTCAATCCCTTTCACCTTCAGTTCGTATCGGTAGATCCTGTCGGCGGGCGCAGTCTGGGGTGATGTACTGTCTTTTGGTGTGACGTTGTACCAGTAGACGGCTTCCTGTACGGAACAGCGCATTCTGGCCGCGATTCGTTTTACTGTGCGTTGGCATCGCTCCGCTATACCATTCCCAGTGGGGCATATGCGCAGCGGAACCGCAAGTTGACTCCCCACTCGCGCGCAAAAGCTCTGAATTCCTTGCTGCAGAAAGCTGGGTCGTTGTTCGTGAGTAGCTGATGGGGTGGGCCGCGCTCGAGGAACACTTCTTTCATCTGGCTAATGACGGCCGCCGAGTCTTGTCTTGCCAACTGCTTCCAGTATGAAAAACGCGACGGGCCGCAGTCCATCAGCGTTATGCAATGGGCACCATAGTGGGTGATGTCCATCCCCAGTCTCTGCCAGTTTCTGCTTAACTCAAGCTTTCCTTTTTTCCAGCGAGTTGGTGCGGGGTCTATGAACTGACATTCCTCACACATCCGTATAACTGATCTAACGGCTGCTTTTGTCGTTGACGGGCCGACTCTCCTGGCGAAGTAGGTAGTACGCCGCACTCCTTGGTGACCACTGTTCCTGTGGATGGACATGATTTGATCTGCGTCTAGTTTGTCCACATGGGTGGCGCCAATCATTGGCCTGGGTCCATTACTTATCTTCATTGTGTCGAACCATCGCTGCGGTACTCTTGTCAGTCCATCAGCTATATTCAGAGCCGAAGGGACCAGTGCCACGTCCACGGCCAGCTCCTCCACGAGCTCCTTAAGAGTGCTCAACTGCCTCCTGATGAGCATTTCGTTTGCCGCCTTGGTGTGCACTCGCGCTCTCCCAGTCAGAGTATCCGACACCCAATGGTATACGCAAACAGAATCCGTTTTTAGGTGTAGCGTCTTGCTCTGCCACTGGAGTGCTAGATTGACGCCTTTCAACACGGCATTCAACAGGGCATCCAGCTCGGCCAGATTGATATGCTGTGCGTCATCTTTAGGTCGCAACCAGCAAGCATCCTCCAGCACCGTCTCATGGCTCTCTAACGCTACTCCGGTCGCCAGGGAACTTGCATCGACCCACACATTCAGCTCCCGGGCATCCACGCACCACTCCCCACGAGTTGGATCGTCCCGCTGCACAGAATCCACGGTCTCAGACACCATGCGCTGGAGAAGGGCATCTTTTGTTTCATCGTCTCAGCCCTTCGTAATTGTACTTGCTCTCCTCTTGAGAATTCAACATGCCACACGGAGCCAACAACACACTGGGAGGTGCCCAACAAGCCTTCCACACAGAGAGAACACCTTCCGTCACGTAACGACATCAGGGGCGTTAGGAACCACGCTTCCTCGTCTCCACCGCAGTCTTCCTTGTTCCATCGCGACCGCCAATCCACTACCCGTGCACCATCCTCCAACCGTTCTGGGTCCTTGCATTCCAGCCCAAACTGGACCAGATGTTTTTTAACGCGGGTCGCGGGAACGACATCTTCATTGATATAGACGTCGTCAATGTAGATGCTGCACGACCCACAGCTTCTTCCTGAGCCAGCACCGTACTGATGATCGCCTTCATGACAAGGGGGGGGGAACGTTTAATTCAAATTCTAAACGTGTCAGGCAATATTTTCTCCCATCAATTTTCACGGTTTGGTATGGCCAGAGTGATTCGTGGACACGTATTTGGAGGTACGCTCTCCTGAGATCCAACAAGGACACGTTGGATCCCTTTTACCACGATTCGCGCAGTTTAGCTGCACAGACGTCTCCATCGGCTGTGAAAGCGTCAACGTGATGATTGAGCACCCGGAAGTCCATCACAGGGCGTACCTTCGACTTGTTCTGCTGTAGTACGGCCATCAGGGGAATTAGCTCCTTGGGAGGCCCCAGTTTTTCTTCTGGGTACGGTATGAGCCAACCACTGCTGATCCACGTGCGGAGTTCCTGTTCGTAGTCCTCCCTGATTTCTGCTGCTACCGGGTACTCGGAGACCCCATTGTGCAGTCTTTCAGGCGCGCGGTTCTCCGACCACTTCTATGCCACAGTCCAGGATCGCCTCCCGTGGTCGAAGGTGGCAGTGAAGTCGGGTTCATTAACAGTAATGGCTGTGCATCTGGCTACTTGCCCATTGCCAATCTGTGCTCGTCCCGTAGGCCCAACAGTAACGCCTTCCAATGCTGTTATGGCATCAGTTCCCAATAGCAGGTCGAATCCCAGTGGTTTGTCGCGCACCACCAGCACGTCGATCTTAGCAGAACCGCCTTCCTCCGTGGATACAGTTACCACGCCCACGCCACAACATGGACGGGACACACCTCCAATAGTCATGACATCCACCTTCACTTTCTTCCAAGACCGGCACCGATCTGCATCCACAATTGTCCGTGAACAGCCGGTATCAATCAGCGCTGAGCATGAAGTTCCGTCAACAAGGACGTTTGCCACCGGGAGCGCCGTATTTACATCTTGGTTGGGGAGAAGGCTAGCGCTGATCCCTTGTCCCCTGCAGCGTTTCCCGAACAGTCTCGGGCCCAGTGTCCTAACTCCCCGCATTGATAGCAGCGTTTTCCGCGTTTCCGGCAGTCTTTTGCCATGTGGCCTTTAACGCTAGCATGTCATACTGGTGCGTGGGCCGCTCTTGGCGGGAGACGCGCCGACACTACGGGGTGTGCGCACAGCCGCAACAACGTTCTGACTTTCATCTCCGGTACTTTTCAGCACTCTCGCTCTTGCTAACAACTCCCCCACAGTCAGTGCTTCAACGTTTGGTGCCTGTCGGAGTCTGAGGGCGATTGTATCAGGAAAACCCATGACGAAGGCTAGTTTGGTGAGCCTTTCCATCTCGGCTCCCTCGAATCCGGCCAATCGAACAAACTGTCTGACTTTATTTGCGTAAACGTCTACGCGCTCGCCGGTCCACCTGACCATGGTCAGTTTTCTATATGCTGAAAACGCATCGTCCGCGAATGCCTGCTTCAGTCTAGCTTCGATTTGATCGATGTCTCCTTGATCTTCCTCCTCCATTTCCATGTAGAGGGCTAGTGCATCCCCCTCCAGGTATAATGGTAGCAGACTAGCCACATCGTCCACATGTTGAAGTCTCGCCACCAGCCTGACCTTTTTCAGCCATGCCACCACATCGCCCTGGTCGGAAAACGGTTTTATAATGTCACTGCTTATGCGAACCTTCGCCATAATCTACCGAAATATCTTGTAGAGAAAAGAAGAGAGAAAAACAAACAAGTGACGAGAGGGTTCGCCGACAAATCAGCTGTTCTTCTTCGCTGTCGTTCGCCTCAAAGAAATGAATTGCGAGACTCCTTTTCTCGGCCGTTACACCGGGCAGTCGTGAAACGGACACCCAAATCAGACGCGCCTACTTCAACCACCTCTTGGTCTGCCAGTTTATTCGCACGTCCGACACTGTTTCAAGAAGTTCGCCGTCTGCTATACCGCTGGCGCCTCGCCTTTTTATGCTACTCCGACACTACTGAAATTTGCATGTGTACTGGTACAATCTCGTTTTGGACGAGACCGGCGCGTATAAATCGCGTCTTCGACAGCGCCCATGTTTTCTCTTGGATTTATCATGCAAGCAAGACACGTTTGCACACGTTTCGAGCTCCGAGGTAAGTCATCACACATTGAACTGTTTCTCTTTTCCAAAGACTTTTCTCGAAGGTTTGTTAGAGCGTTTATAATGTTTGTAAGGTGAAAACGGAATGGTTTGACGGCATTGAATCGTGGTTCCAATCTAGTATCACACTGTGCTTTCAAAGGCGTATTCTCTAATGGCATATTCTCTAATGGCATATTCTCTAATGGCATCTTCCAATGAAAAGTTGAAGAAGAAAGTAATGCATATCAACGATCAACTACCCCATGAATATAACAGAAACCAACAATGACACACTATCCGACCAAACAAGATTTGTAGCAAACCTAAAAAACGATAGATCGGAAAATACGTTTTTTTCCTCCACTCATTTTCCTCGCCACGAGCAATTATCTCAAATTGGTGCGAATTTTAGTTTACAACTACGTCCGCACCCTACGTCATCGACAGCCGTCGTAAACATATAAACTGGGAACACCCCATATTAGCGACACCAGTTAAGTACTGTTTCACTAACACATTTCTTTCTACTTACTCGCAAATGTAATTAAGGAAAATGTGAAACTGAAAATTCTTGAACATACCGTACACAACCGAATCAAAGGCAACCAATACATACTGTCGTTTTTGAATAAATGTTGTTTTGGATTTGGTTAAACCGAGTTTTTTCGTTGTTTCAAATTGTTGTTTGTAAATGATAAATTTTATATGTTTGAGGCTTCGGTGCTTTTCCAAAGCCCTCAACAGATTTAAAGTATATGCATTGAATTGAAAAAATAAAGCCTTTATATCACGTAATCTCTGTACTTTCCTGTCATATTGACGCTATTGTCGTAACTTTGAGAGAGAGAGAAAAAAAAAACGAAGAAATATTCACGAATCTTTACATCATCACCAAGCTTAGAATGAACATATCTTAAAATTACAGACTTTTTTTCAAAAAAATTACGTAATATTTTTTGCATATTTTAAATCGGAAAGATTTCTTGACAAAATCATTTTTTAGATAAGACTGAAAAACTCATTCTGAGTATCTTTACTCAAATAATACGTGTAGATTTTACCAGTCTCGATCCTAATCAATAATTCGGTGGGGACAGAGTCAAATTTTGCAATCAATTCTATCAATCTAAGAAAATTGCAATTTTGACTGAGAACTGAAATGTTGGTTTCTTCCAGGAAGAGCCAAGTTCCCATCAGCTAAAATGACTGTTGTATTGATTAAACGCTTCAGCACACACCTCTAAAACGCCTGCTTCCGAAGTAATTCTATTTCTTGTCAGAACCAAACGTAGAACTTTCCACTGACACAAGTTGATGGCTTCACTATCTTCATGTTCTTTCGATTCTTTAAAAAGACCTTCCCACACATCTGCTCCTTTTATAAGAGGCTCTGAAGACTCAGCATCACTAAAAAGTTTACAACAAAAATGCGATCACTTTTGAGAGAATATACCAACCACGACCGTTTCACTTTTTCCTTATTTGGCATTATTCGATAGTAATGACGTTTTGAGAAACATCTTCAGTATTCATTGTCAGGGTATTTATCCAAATCGATTTGAGTAGGGCCACATTCAACAATATCACAGAAGCCATTCAGAAATATCATCAGATAAAGGAGTTAAGGAAAACTGTTGGTAGCTCCTCTGAAGTTGTTTCCTTGTCAGTAAATATTTCTTCCCCCCTAAATGTTTCTTCAACAGTAGGTGTCTCATCGTTGTGTATTTATTCATGCTCTTTAAGAAAATATCGGTTTTAATAAATAATGCAGAAAATATCGGTTTTAATAATAATCTGTTAAAGAAAATAATGCAATAAAAACCGATATTTTCTCTTAAAAAATATCGGTTTTATGTTATTATTTTACTTATTTCAGATTAACGAACGTTTCTTTATCGACTGTAATAAAAAGAAAATATCAGTCTTATATTTTTCGTATTTAAGATTCCTTAAAAATAAAATCTTAATTCAAAAATAAATAACGTATCTAAAGAATCTGAATTCAAAAGTAAATGAAAAATTACGAAGTAGCTTTTATAAAAATGCAGTATTTATTTACGAGATAATCATCATTATTAATTTATGTATCATATATATCTAATAATAAAAATAGATAATAATTATTAAAATTATCATAAAAAATATTAATAATTATAGAAAATTTAAATATAAAAATATATTTTTTTATAATTTTTCTATTTAATGTATTTTGTTTGTAGTGGGCTTTTGTCCGTTTTTCAACTTTCCATGGCAATATTTTTGTAACGTACAAACCAAAAAAACAAATAAAGTAATAAACAAAAACAAAAACAAAAAAACAAACAAACAAAAAAAACGGTGAGGCCAATATTCGAAAGTTTTGAAACAACATTCTTTTCGTCTTTTGCTGCTTAGTGTCAAATTAGTAAAGTTTAAGATCAAAGAGCAAGGCAGACGGCTGGTGGGCACAGAAGACTAATACCACGTTTAACCCGTTGTAAAAAAATTTAAAAAATAAATAAAATTAAAAAACAAATTCACAGATTTAGATGAAAAAAAGACCTCAGTTAAGTCCAACTGAAGATGTAAAGAAGACAAACAAGAACGATATATATATATATATATATATATATATATATATATATAAACAAATATATGTATTAAACAAAACAATTTTACAATAGACAATAAAATGTGTGTGTGTACAAACATTGGTGTCTGTTCTTTGGTGAATGTTTGTACGTACGTGTATGTGTGTATAATGTTCATAGCGTTTACCCACAAGTGGGAAACGCTATCTCCTAAGAGAGCTTACATTGTAGTCGCTGAAATGAAGAAATGAAAAGAGGATTTACCTCACCTCCGCGCGGAGTTGGATGCGGCACGAGGCCTGAAGGGAAGAGAGCGAGGCAAGAAGTCGCCCAGTATTTATAATATAGGGAGAATGAGCCCTAGTGACAATTTGGGAATTAAGGAGGAGCTAACTCCGACACTACTTCTTGGACAGCGGAAATAGTCATTGGGGTTTGTTTATTTACTCTTGTTTTGCTATGTTACTTGACTGATGAAACAAAACTGTTAAATTTATGGCATTTTCTGCTGCGAATGTACCCGATGAATAGGAAACACAAAGTGATATATCAGGCGCCAATGACTGAAGTGCCTGAAGTTTCCTGGCATCTCAGAAAACGTTTGCATGCATTGATATTGATGACTAGTGTTCACAGTTTAAAGCATGAAATCGTAGGAAATAAGACTAAGGTGAATAATGGTGAAGATAAAAGGACCCAAATGAATCTTTGTGTCCCCAACTTAAATGCGGAAATTCCACGATTAATATGGAAGATCATGTAAAATTGATAAATAAAATAATAATAATAAATAATAAAAAAAGAAATTCATTTTCCCATGATGCTAAGAGAAAAGGAACCAGAAAAATGATTACTCCACTTGGTTTCGTCAAACACTATTGAGTGGCGCTGCTGAACTCTATACAAAGACAAACATTCACTTACTTTCTCTTACTTGCACCAAGATGTAGCACAACGTGTTAATTACGATCTCGCTGGTGAACTTTAATTTTCCCAGTCCACTGATGTCTGAACTCTCTTTTCATGTTCCAACGTATGGCGTTCACACGTGTCATCCAAAACCTCCATCTATGTAGTAAATCAACCTTTTCCTTGGTCGTTCCAACTCAGCACAAGGCTGACTAGAGCGCGACCATTATAACGATGCTTATTCTTACTTAGCCTAACTTCTGGACTAAGAAAAATAAAACGGGCATACCATTATAACCATGATAAAGTAAGTAAAAACCTTTCTTTAGTTGTTCCAATTCTTCGCAAGGCTGACTTGAGTTCGGCCATTAATACGATGCTTATACTTACCCTAACTCCTGGACCAAAAAGAAAACGGATATATCTCAGAAACATTGAGAATTTTGTTTCACTACAGTATATATATATATATATATATATATATATATATATATATATATATATATATATATATATATAAAGAGAATAAATGGTCCGTGGTGGAAACCCAAGTCCTTGTATGCTTTTTTTTAAAATTATTTTATCTGTCAACACACGCACCCTCATAAAATAGACACCGATACGCAGCCTTTTAAATTCTATAATTTCATGTCTCGGATATTTTCCTTGGCTGTATCTTATTTTGTCTCATTGGCGTTGGCCATTTATACGTTCATGTAAATGTTATACAAAAAATAGGCAGAAAAAAAAAAAAAAAAAAAATGAAACGCATTACTACGTTGCATTGCATGTCTGTTTTATCTTAATTTTTCTCTTTCGATTCATGATTAAATGATCTTAATATACTGTAATTTTGGCATCTTTCCATTCTTAACTCCCTTTTCTGCCTGTGGATATCCAACCAGCATGTCTGTCTCCACACTTCCACTCTTCTTTCTCTCTCTCTCCATATATATATATATATATATATATATATATGTGTGTGTGTGTGTAAGTTTTACGTGTTATTTTTCAGGCTAGCAAAACCTCTGCCAAAAAGCGATCAAGAGATAACTGGTGCAATAATATGCAACTCAGTGCATTATGAAATGCTAAAGTCACTACCTGGTTAACAGATTCAGGCGTTTCGCATCGATAACGCTCATCAGAGCCAGATGTTCGATAAATCTATTGAACTTATTATCAGATCTAAAATTTATACTTTTTTCTGAATGAACGAAACGCTAATTTTAACTTTTAAATTTGAAATTCTTAACACGCTCGACTTTTGTTAGAAACATCAGATTTAAATTTACAGCCAGTTAATTTATATATATATAATTTCTGGTCCTGATGAACGTTTCTACGCTAAACTAATATCAACTAATATCACTTGTACTTTTCTTAATTTAATGAATATATATATATATATATATATATATATATATATATATATATATTCCTTTCACCTGGTTTCTTATCTTTTTCATTAGTTTTCTACCTCCTACCTTTTCATCTTCATACTCTTCCTCGTCTAAAAATTCCTTATCGCTTAACATTATTATCTACGATTCTCGCTTCATTTCAGCTCAGAAGAAGAAAAAGATAGGCCCAACGTTCGTACATACGAACAAACAGAATAAATATTACTAACAGTATTTCCACAAATCACATCAATGAAGTCACATTGATTTTTAATCAGTAACTATAAATTCTCCTCCCCCAGCCTACCCCGGCCAACACCACCTAACTATCGCAGATACATGAAATCTAAAAATGTCGCGAATGTTTTAAATCACGAAATGACTTGCTTTATTGAGAAATCTTAAACTGGTTTTGTTTTCACGTTGAATGGTACACCGAAAATGTTGATGCGAGAAAGCGGAAGTAATTGTATCACGTGATATAAAGTGTGTTACATATGGAGTGTACAAAACAAGATCAAGATTTAAAATTCAAATGCTAAGCACTGATTCATTGAAATTTCACGAGTTTTGCTTTGGATTCGCTTTTGCGTGTGTGTTAAGCAAAGTTTGTAAATTCGAGTCTTTTTAATTTTTAACAAAATCAATGAGTCAGTGCTTTAGTATTTGAATTTTAAATCTAGATCTTGTTTTGTTCACTACATATATTTGTGGTATCAGGTCGATTGAACTTATCTCAGGGTAGTATTAGCCTGATGACTGTTGGGGTGAAAAAGTTGGAGATAAATGAAAGAAAGCAAAGAAAAAGACGAAGAATAATGGAAAAAGAAGGAAGGAAACGAAAATAAAAGAAGAAATCAAAACAATATTCTACAAAGAAAGAAAAAAATATATAAATAGAAAGAAAGAAGAGAAATGTAGAAAACGATGATAACGATGAAGAAAAATCATTCAGATTTTTTCTAGAGACTAATTACATTTCAAACCAATTTGTTTTCATTCTTAACCTTTGGT